TCAGACGGAGGGAGTGTTTTTTAAGAAAGCTTATTCTTCCACCCTTCTTCATTATTGTTTTGTTTTTCATATTTCTTTGTTTTATGGTTTTTCAATTTCTGAATTTAGTGATTTGTTGTTTACACTCGTTTTCAGATTAAGCACCATACCATTCTTCTGATGTACACGAATACTTCTTTGAGTCAAGTTTTTTTTTTTGAAATACACAAACATCTATTTTGAAACATGTGGACATTTCTTTTGGTAGCAATGGATATTTTTATTGAAAATAAATTGGTATTTCCAAATCAATAAAAAAATGTTTACATATGATACAACTTCCATTTGCAACTCTGCAAATCACATTTCACCAATCGCGTAAACATATTATTTAATATATATAGATATAGATGAAAAAACCCTCCGAAAGTATTTGAACAAAATCCAAAAGTAGATTAAACATTTTCTGGCCTATTAAGATTTATTTGCATATATTGTTACTTAAATGATATCTAACATTTAAAAAAATTAAGACACATGTATACTCTCTTCAAAATTTCTTAAGAAAATAACAAAACATATTGCCAGGGGCCACGCCGATTGAGGAGCTCCCGGCGTGCCTCTTCCACGGTGGGCCCACCCCGCGGCCGAGCCCGCTGGCGTGGGCCCCACCCCGCAGCCACACGGCGCGCCCACAGCATTTCGAAATTTGAAACGCGCCTCCCCTCTCCTAAAATCCCAAACCAAATCCGCCATTCCCAAATCAAACCCCCGTCCCTCCCCTCTTCCCCCAGAGATCCACAAACCCTAGCCCCTCCCGAGCATGGCCGCCCGCCTCAAGGACCGCGGCGGCGGCGGCGGCAGCGGCGTGAAGGCGGGCTCCACCGCCGCCCCGCGCGCGCTCACGCCCAGGCCGTTCCCACTCTCCTCCTCCTCCTCCGCCCCGCGCCGCACCCCCGGCACCGCCGCCGCCGCGGCCGCCGCGGGCAAGGAGAACTCCGCGTCGAAGCTCTCCAAGCAGCAGCCCACCTCCGCGGTGCGGTGGTCCACCTCCTCGATCCCGCGGGCCAGCAGGATCCCGGGGGGCTCCGTCGAGCCCTCCTCCAGGCTCGTCTCCACGCTCCGCGCCTCCGCCGCGCTGCCGGCGGGGAGGGCCTCCCTCGGGAAGGACGCGGAGCCGGGCCTGCGGCGGAGCGTCAGCGGCGGGATCAGGTCCGTCTCCACCGAGAGGGGGAGGAGGTCCGTGAGCGCGGCCGCCAGGACCTCAGATGCCGCCAGGGGAGGCACAGGCAGCGGCGCTGCCCGGGCTTCAGATGCTGCCGCTCATGAGATCGGCTCCAGGAGCCTAGGGTTCGATTCGAGGGGGCGGAGGGCGAAGGCGGCGGAAGAGATCAGCAGGAAAAGAGAGATCTTGGATGCCAAGGCCAAGCAGGCCGATGGCGTTGGCAGGAGCAGAGAGAGCCTTGATGCAAAGCCAAAGCAGGTCAGTGGGAAAAAAGTGAGCTTGGATGTGAATGCGGTGAAGCAATGTGATGTGTTCAGAGAGAGCAGCGGAGCATTTGACTCCAATGTGAAGAAGCAGAGTGATGAGGGGAATGGGAAAAGACAGGGCATCTTCGATGCGAGGGCAAAGCTAGGCGATGAAATTAGTAGGAAGCAAGAGGAGGGGCATGACCTGAAAGTGGTGGATGAGATCAGTTCCAGGAATGTTGTTGCTGGTCTTGCTGGTTCAGGGGAGGTTTCTGCCAAAGCATTTTCCGCTACCCAGAGCGATTGTGATGGAGGTAGCAGTGCTGTTATTCCTGTGTTTACCGTGCACGTGGTAGACTCGGATGATGTTTGTTCGGGAGTGAGAGAGCATCAAAAGAAGCCCGAGGAGTGTAATAAGCAGGGAGAGAAGGGGAAATTGGCTGACAAGATTAGAGTTTTTGAGAAAGCAGCAACAAGTGGCGAGGGAAAATCGGTGAAAGCTTTGTGCAGTGTGAACAAGTACCCAAGCAAGCTGCATGAGAAGCTGGCTGCGCTGGAAGGGAGGGTTCAGAAGATTGCCACAGATATCAAGAAGACCAAGGAGATGCTGGACGATAACAACCCGGATGAGCCAAAACAGATATTGTCAAATATCCAGAAAGAAATCAATGCAATTGAGCAGGCAATTTCTCATGTCAAAGTCGATAATAAGAGTCAGTTAGGTACTGAAGATAACAGTGACTGTGAGATCTCTCACGCTAAGAAGGGTGCAAGTGAGAAATCTGCTGCTGTGAAGCCACGTGACCTGAAGAATGCTGGAAAAGGAATGAATACTGATGAACTGGAGGCAAGGTTTTTCCCACATCATAAACTATCGAGGGATCGTAAGACTTCTGCTACCCAACAGGAGTCGTGCGTGGCTCTGATAAAAGGCTGTAATGGAAAAATGGAACCTGGTACCCTTGAGCCCCGTGATGACGAGAACAGTATAGCCATGGAATTTCTGGCTTCTTTAGATGGCGAAGAGAGTGACTTCTTCAAGGATCGCAGAGCTAAGAACTTGGAAAAGCACATGATTTGTGAAGCAGCAGATGCTAGTGGCAAGACGTCTAGCCAAGGTAGCTCAAAGATTCCAGATGGTTCAACTAATGAAGTCGAAATGGAATTGTGTGGTGAGAACCTAGAAGAGTTTGATGAGCAGGAAAACAAGTCATCAATGGCGATACAGGAGGAAACCGAGGAGTCTTCCATTGATCAATTATCAGGGATAGGAAATAAGTCTGCAACAGGTGGATGGTTTGTTTCAGAGGGGGAAGCTGTTCTTCTTGCTCATGGAGATGGCACCTGCTCTTATTATGATATTGCAAACCATGAGGTACTTGATTATTTACTTAAAATATTTTTTTTATTTCCATAGTTTTGTGCACAGATAATATTTTCTTTCAAGTGCTGATTCAATCGAACTTTTCTGATACAGTTCAAGTCTGAATATAAACCTCCCAGTCTGGTGTCACATAATACTTGGGGTGATTGCTGGTTGATTCGTGCCCCAGGTGTAGATGGATGCTCCGGTAGATATGTGGTCGCAGCATCAGCTGGTAATGCATTGGAACCTGGGTTTTGCAGCTGGGATTACTACAACAGAGAAGTACAAGCATTTCATGTCGAGGAGGAGGCATCTCATGCTCCTGTACCATCAGCCAGGACAGTTCTTGGGCCTCTTCCTAATATAGGTTCATCAAGATCTAGCTCTGCTATTTCAACCATAGAACGTCCACAATGGTGGTACAGACCATGCGGACCTCTCCTCCTTTCTACTGCTAGCAAGCAAAAGATGGTCACAGCTTATGACATCCGTGATGGCGATGTAGTGATGAAATGGGAAACAAGCAGCCCAGTACTTGGAATGGAGTACTCCAGCCCACTACAATGGCGTAGCAGGGGGAAGGTCGTTATTGCTGGGACCGAATCAATTGGGTTGTGGGATGTGAATTCGCTTAACCCACAACCCTTATTATCTGTTGCTTCTGCTGGTAAAAGAGTTTACTGCCTTCATGTGAACAACACGGATGCTGAGGTGGGCGGAGGAGTTCGTCAAAGGTAACTTAAAACAATCTTGCCTTAACTGCATCTCACTGTTCTGTTATTACTGCCATTTGAGATCCTGCCTAGATTAAGTTGACTTGTTCTGGTGAAGCTAGATGTTTTTTTGGTTACTATGGGCGTATGATATATGCATTTGATACTTGTCCTGTTCACTGATAAAGCTGAAGCCTAGAAAGGGTATAAGTATCTGAAAACAGATGTAGGCAATTCTGCTCTATGTGATCTGGCTCAGCCTCATCATTAACCTGTATGTGGCTGTCTTTTGCAGAGTTAGTTCATCCGAGGTTGAGGGAAATGATGGTGTTTTCACTACGCAAGAAAGTGTTAATGTATTTGACTTCCGTGTACCTTCTGGCATCGGTCTTAAAATGGCAAGAAACGGTGGAACGGCAAACTCAGTGTTCTCACGTGGAGACTCAGTATTTATTGGTAGCACAGAAGGCAGGCTGCAAATAAAAGGGGGGCCGAAATCACGAATCCAGCAGTATTCACTGAAAAAGGGGAGGCTTGTTGCAACCTATGAATTACCAGAGTTCAATGCCCACTTCCATCACTCTTCAATAACCCAAGTGTGGGGTAATTCCAATGTTGTCTTGGCTTCATGCGGTATGGGCTTGTTTGCTTTTGATGCCTTCAATGAAGAAGGCGTCCAACAAACCTACAGCTTTGACCGTGGAAACACCATTGGAGCAAGAGAGGTTATTGGCTCTGATGATTTGTACTGCCCTACATTTGATTACTCATCATCAAGGGTTCTTCTGGTCTCGAAAGACCGTCCAGCCCATTGGAGGTACTTGCCATAGTTGTCTGTTTATTGTGTGCATCATGTGACATGTAAAAAATGTACTGTCCGTATGCTTTGATTGTGTAGTCATTTGTCGTGATAAGCATCTTGCTTTCGCTGTATTATCGGATAATACTGGGCTTTTACTGAGTTAATTTATGCCTATTGTATCTTGTTTCATTTGTTATTTTGTGTTCTTCCCCAACACTGGATTGTTACATGTGTGTACCAAACCATTGTTCAAAATCAGTTGTTGTGTTGTTCATATTAACACGTGCAATATTATCTTGGCATCAATCCCTAGACACACACACACACACACAGACATACAGCTTAATCATCAGCAAAGCTAAAATCTTTGCTGATCTATGCACATCAATCTTCAATGGGCAATGAGGATCCTACCCCCTCTTTCTTGACCAGAATGCCTCAGCTAGCAGTGCCCTGGCGAACTTGATACAATGCACCATCTGAGCTTATTCCATCTTAAGATCAGCAACATTGTGATCTTGTGGATATGCTCTCTGAAGGCTTTATTACCACCTCGACACCAAATCTAGCAGCAAGCATTACTAGGGTCAGCTCAACCATTCCTGGAACTCTGAACCTAAATTCCCTTGGTATTGGGAGCACGCTGTTACACTCTTCTCTTGTCTTATCATCAATCCGTTTCGAGTTCACGAAATGGTAATGGGACAGTCTTCACTGCTCTGAACTTGCCAACATTGTTCAAGTGTTCGTTCTCCAGCCTGCAATCCAGTCAACCATATACCCGAGTTATAACCAAAACATTAAACCGAAGATATTGATTCTAGCTGTACACTAGTTTCAAATACCTGTAGAAATTCCAGTGTCCTCGTCGGATTATCTCCAAGGAAGCAAGGGAGAAATCCAGCAGGCGAGTCTCGTTCTTATTAATACGGATCTTCATCACACTTTGAGCCCATGCTAGCCGAAGCACTAGATTTAGCATCTGCATAGTGAAAGAATTAGTGATAATAAATCTGGTCATTTTCTGCATTGATGCTGTACTATAAATCAGTTGGACAAAGTAAAATACCATGGAAATGTAGTAGGTGAACTTGTTCTTCAGGATGAGATCATCCCTGAGCCATAGGTTCTTAGATTTGGGAGTGAAAAAGCCCCAATCCTTGACAAAGTCCCAGTAGAGCTGGTAAACGGTGGCGCCTGAGGACGAGATGAGGACCATCCACATCCAGAATGGTGTCGGTGTGACATTGTACTTGAATCTGACGGCAGCCGCCACCATCGCCGACACGTACTTCCCAGCATTGGCCAGCTGATTAATGTCATGTTCTTCTATGTACCTTCTTAAACACTTCAAGGAAAAAAATGGCCACAAAGTTCAGTTTGAAACTGATTTTGACAACTTGAGATCTTACTGTTGTTGGTATGTCGATTCATACCTGCATAGCTCTCCAATAGTAAGGGAGAAAAGAGATGACATAGGCCAGGTGTTTGTACTGCTGGCTGGTAGTACAAGTCTCATATGGGTTAGCCCTAAAGCTTCCTGCCATGAAGTAGCACGCTGCAAACTCCATGTGCCTTAACAACGGGATCTGGAACATGTACAAGTTTAGCTTGTAAGAACTTGCGTTTTGAGGCTCCTCGGTTGTAGTATAATCGTGCAATTATTAATTATTACCTGACTAGTTAATTGGTCAGCCATGAAGAAATCGGCCATCAGAACCTGGATCACAAAGGCAAGATAGGCTTATCATCAACTATATGTTCATAGCTGTTTGGCGGATTGGAAACAATATTTAGATGTCTCCCCTTACCTTGTAGAATGGTGAGAACATGATGTTGCGCATGATGCGCATGAAGCAGTAACGTGTCGAGCGGTAGAACACATTGAACGGGCAGAGTAAAAGTCCGGCTGACAGCTGAAACAGGTAAATTCAGAATTTTGAGAATTGACTTCAGTTGCAACATAGCCCAAGTTCGAAAGTCATCTTCTGGTTCAACATATGTAGTTTGTGTTTCTTACCACTATGAGCCCCCCGGGCACGGCGTTGGCATAGGATGCGCCGGCATTCCTGAGGAAGAGGTTGATGACCAAGGCGGCGACGACGGTGCACATGATGGAGGCGGACATGAGGAAGGCGTCCCGGTGCGTGAGGGCGGTGTTGGGGGCGAAGTCGAAGATGAAATTCTGGTTTATCCGGGTGCTCTTCCACATGAAGAGGTTGCACCCGTAGAGGAAGCAGTGCAGGCTGATGAGTGCGAACATGCTGCACAAGAGCAAAGGCACAATCTACTGTCAGGCCAAGGTAAAACTGCATCCCTAACAATCTAAGATATCGACTAAAATGAAATCATGCCAAGAACAGAGCTCTTATCTATGATCAGAACCTTGGCCTGAGAGGTTACCTGAAGACATGGTAGACTACCTCCATGTAGGCCGTGTTTCCAGTTGAGGCGAAAATGCCGGAAACATGTGCCAGGATGGCGTATATGATGAACAAACTCACAAATGTGCCCGTGAACAACCCTGAAAATTTTAGAACCGCAGAGTTAGAATTCTGAATTTCTTCACCGTAGGTACATGGTAGAATTGCGGTATCTGAATCTAGGTGCCTACCTACGAGGAAGGTGATCATGTGGGTGTTCTTGGGCTGCTGCGGGTTGAGGTACTTCATCGCCACCATCCTGTCGTTGCCCGCGAAGTGCTTCAGGAAGAGTGCCTCCACCTCGTCCGACAGCTGAAGCACCTGCTCGAAATTTCATGGCATGTAAACACATCAATTCATTCTGTTCGTGTCTTATAGGTCTGAAACTCTTCTAAGAATCTTGTAAGATGATGATACCTTGTCGGACGTGCTGAACGATGACCTCTTCACCTTCTGCGAGAAAAGGTCCGTTGCTCGCTGCTGCTCCGACACCTGAGAGAGCATTTTGTGTCAGTTGCCGACTGCAAACTACAGATCAGTTTTGTTACAAGTTTTATTTTTCAGAGCTGGGCTAGTCTCTGTTGCTACTACTGCAGTACCATCGTTGCACATCACTCTAGTCTACATCTGCAGCTGCTCATTCATTACAACCACACAGATCACTAGCTGAGCCGTGCTATTTGATAATACTTCCTCTGTCCCAGAATATAAGAACGTTTTTGACACTATGCTGGTGTTAGAAACGTTCTTATATTTTGAGACGGAGGGAGTAGTTGACAGTATTCTTTTTCTGGATAAAGAGCTGATGCTACTATATGATAGCAAGTATATACTCCCATAAAAGAAGTATTGAGAATACTCTCCTCTCTTTTTTCTGGATAAAGAGCTGGTGCTACTAGTGGAGAATATACTCTCTTCTCTTTATTCTGTCTATTGTTTAGGACTCTGGACTGTTCCTGGCCATCCATTTTCCAAAGTATGCATATTCTGTAAATCACTATTGCTAGCATCAGTTCAGCTATGCATGTCAGTTCTATTGCTAGCATTGTTTTTTTCAGAGCTAGGCTAGTGCAAATCGCAGTAGTATGTCAATTCAGTAAGTCACTAGGACGACCCTAAAGATACTACAAAGTGGTCACTCACTAGCCATGTCTTGATTATAGCTGATGAAGAGTATATTCTCCCCTAAAAGAAGTGTTAATCAAGTACTAGAACCTCCTTAATCATGTTGTTTAAAACACTCTACACTGTTCCCGTCCATCCATTTTGCAAAGTACGTGTGCATTTATATATGCTGCTAGTGGGCAGAGTATGTTAATTATGACGCACGTACCTTGACGAATTTCTTGAGAATCTTGGTGAAGGCCTTTACATTCAGAGAACTGCACCCATCCATCCATCATCCATGCAACAGAAAAAGCACAACAAATCCGTCAGAGATGTCACAATTCTCACGGCGAAAGCAAAGGCAATTTTAATCAACTGAATGAGTCGTGCATGGCGCATGGCGATGGCGGCCGGAGTGTGCACCTGAACTTCTTGAGCAGCTCGAGGCCGCGGTAGAGCGCCATGAAGGCGTCGCGGATGTTCTTCTCGGCGTGCTGCACCTTCTTGCGGTGGACGAAGGCGGCGGCGGGGTCGGCGCCGTCCTTGCGCAGCACGTTCACCAGCTCCTCCCACACCTTGAGCGCCGCCCGCCCCGGGTTGCTCGCCGGTATGTCGATGCGCACCGTCGACGGCAGCTGCAGCCTCCCGCCCCTGCCGCTGCCCTCCTTCTTGGCGTCCTTCTTCCCCGGCAGCCCCACGAAGCTGACGCCGTTGCGCTCCAGCGCCGCCATCACCTCGTCCGCCACCGCCGCGCCCTCCGTCATCTGCGCCTGCTGCTGCTCCACGCTCCCATCTGCACCGTGCCATGCGTGTCAGTGTCAGAGATGTTAGCGTACGTGTGTGTTCACGTCGTGCGTCTGTGCACGTACGTGGGTTAGTCATGGGTTAAGCCCAAGTGGCCCGAGTCTTAAGGCTGGCTTTGTGTGTATGGTTAGGCATGTACAGCTATATATGGTGTAATCTCCGAATCAATCAATACAGAGAGAGAATTGCACGAGTTTCCTTTCCCTGCTGTCTTTCCAACTCTAGCATGGTATCATCCTGTTAGATCCTCAACTTCCGCTGCCTCCACTCCTTCCTCGCAACATGAGCTCCTCGTCTGCTCTCTCCTCCGGCGGCTCTGATTCCGACGAGGAGTTCGGCCCTCCCGTCGCCACCCAGAGCCTCCCCACTCTCCAAATCCAGAGCCTTCGCATCCGCGATCATGTCATGGTCACCCTCGACTTCGAGAAGGAGAACTATGGCCTGTGGCGTCGTCAGTTCCTCGACGCCCTCGCCAAGTTCGGGCTCACTCATCATGTCGATGGCTCGCCGGCGCAGGCCACCTCCGACTGGGTGCTCGCCGACTTCGCGATCCTATCGTGGTACAACGCCACGGTGACTCCCTCGACCCTGGAGATCGTCGCGGACCGCAAGGACAAGGCGTACACGCTCTGGAGGTCCCTCCGCTCCCTCTTCCGCAGCAACCGGGATGCTCGCATCACTTACCTCCTCGACGAGTTCCATGGCTTCATCCAGGGTGAGCTCTCCGTCGTCGACTACACCTCCAAACTCAAGCAGATGGCAGACACTCTGCGGGACCTTGGGCATCGCGTCAAGGATCGGGATCTCGTCCACAACGTCCTGCGCGGCCTCGACGACCGCTTCCAGCACGCCGTGCCACACATGACCAGCGGGCGCCTTCCCACCTTCATCAAGCTCCGCGCCTTTCTTCAGCTCGAGGAGCAACGGCTCGCCCGTCAGGCACGCGTCGCCGCCCGCTCCGCCCTTCTGGCGCAGGCGCACGCGTTCTACGCCGCTCGCCCTCCAGCACCGGCCCCCTCCTTCCACATGGCGGCGCCCGGTGTTCAACCGGCAGGTGCGGGGCCCTCCGCTGGTTCTCCAGGGTCGCGCGGTCGCAAGAAGCGCAAGCACAACTCGTCTTCGGGCGCCGGCTCCTCCTCCGGCGGGGGCGTGCCCGCTCTCGGTCACCATGGCGCTGGCTCACGCCCTCCTGCTCCCACTACTGTTGCCGGGACGTTCCAGGGCATCCTCGGGGCGCGACCTCCTGCTCCCGCGACCCACCACGCGCTCCAGGCCACGTCCAGCCCGGCGCCGTCTCCGCAATGGGACCAAGCCGCTCTCATCGCGGCGCTCCACCAGATGTCCGTACAGCCGCCCTCGACTCTTGGAGGCGACTGGGTGTTCGACAGCGGCGCGTCGTCCCACATGAGTTCTGGTGCTGGTATACCCTTCTCCTCTCCCACCCCATCTTCTCCTTCCTCCATCGTTGTAGGCGATGGTTCCACTCTTCCCATTGTAGGACTAGGTTCTGCTTCTCTTAACACTCCCTCCCGTTCCCTCTCTCTTCTCGAAATTCTCATCTCTCCCTCCCTTATCAAAAACTTAGTTTCTGTTCGAGCTTTTACTCGCGATAATTCTGTTTCGGTTGAATTTGACCCCCTTGGCTTCTCTATTAAGGATCTAGCCACCAAGACGGTGCTTCTCCGATGTGACTCCACCGGCGACCTCTATACGTTGACGCCTCCACGCCACTGCCTCGCCGCCACCGTCACTGCCACCATCTGGCACCAGCGCCTCGGACATCCCGGTGCCGCCGTCCTCGCCAAGGCTTCTACCTACTTCAAGTTCACCAACAATAAAAGCTCCATGCCGTACTGCGATGCTTGTCGTCTAGGCAAACACACTAGGCTCCCATTTGTTTCTTCCCATTCGCAAACTACTTTTCCCTTTGAACTTTGTCACTGTGATGTATGGACGAGTCCCGTCTTGAGTGTATCCGGTTATCAATACTATTTAGTTATTCTCGATGATTTCACTCATTATGTGTGGACCTTTCCGGTTCGTCGCAAGTCCGACGTTCATCGCCTACTCGTTCTCTTCTACGCCTATGTCCAAACACAATTTTCTCGCCCCATTCTTGCCTTTCAGACCGATAATGGTCGCGAATTCGATAATCACGCCAACCGCACCCTTTTCGCGTCCCACGGCACACTTCTACGCCTCACATGCCCATACACTTCTCAACAAAACGGCAAGGCCGAGCGTATTCTCCGCACCCTTAACGACGGCGTTCGCACCCTTCTTCTCCATGCCTCCATGCCGCCACGTTGGTGGGCTGAAGCCCTAGCTACTTCTTCCTACCTCCTAAACCGGCGTCCATGCAAACCTCGCCTCATCACCACACCGTTCGAGTTGCTTTTTGGCCGCCCACCTGAGTTCCGTCACTTGCGCGTGTTCGGATGCCTATGCTATCCCAATCTCATCGCTACGACACCTCACAAACTCTCCCCACGTTCGGTCGCATGTGTATTCCTTGGCTACCCAGACGATCGAAAAGGATATCGCTGCTACGATCCAATCTCGCGGCGTATCATTTTTTCTCGGCATGTTACGTTTGTGGAGTCTGTTTTTCCATTCAAAACGCTGCCTGATTCATCCTCTATCTCCTCGGATCTGCCAGATAATCCCGCATCGCTTGATTACGTAGATCCCGCCGCCCCTGCATGGGCGCCGCCCGAGCCGGCCGCTTCATGCGCGCCACTTGGCTCGGTACCTACCTCCTCGATTCCAACTAACCCCGCCTCCCCGCCCATGCCATCCGGCCCCACGTGCATGCAAAACTGCCCCGCCTCCCCGCCCATGCAGCAGCGCCCTTCTCGGTCAACTGCACGTGAGTCTCCTCCCACTCCACCAGCCTCACCACATGCCTCCTCACGCATGCAGCCATGCAGTTCACAATCCCATGAGCCACCGGACCCATCCTGCCCGCGCATGCAGCAACACAGTTCACAGCGCACTCCGTCCTCCAGCTCTCCAACTCCCCCCGCTGCGCCCGCATCACACGTCCATCCGATGCTTACGCGCGCCCATCACGGCATTTTTCAGCCAAACCCACGTTACGCCAACCTGCAGGCGACGACCATCTCTCCGCTTCCATCCTCTGTCCGTGCTGCTCTGAAAGATCCAAATTGGCGCGCGGCTATGCAGGTGGAATACGATGCTCTCATGGCTAACTCTACCTGGACACTTGTACCACGGCCGCCTCGCACTCATATCGTCTCCGGCAAGTGGGTTTTCCGGATCAAAACCAACGCCGACGGCTCGCTGGATCGCTATAAAGCCCGTTGGGTTGTCCGTGGTTTCGCTCAACGTCCGGGCATCGATTTTGGGGAGACTTTTTCTCCGGTGGTCAAACCGGCAACGATTCGCACCATTCTCACCTTAGCATGCTCACGCGGCTGGCCTGTTCACCAGCTTGACGTGAAAAATGCTTTCCTCCACGGCGTTCTTGATGAGCAGGTCTACTGCTATCAGCCAGCTGGGTTCGTCGACGACACTCGTCGTGATCATGTATGTCGACTCTCTAAGTCGTTGTACGGCCTCAAGCAGGCGCCACGAGCCTGGTTTCACCGCTTCGCCACCTTCGCCGCCACCATCGGGTTCACCGCGTCCCGCTCGGACGCCTCACTCTTCCTACTACGGCGGGGCGGCGATACTGCTTACCTACTGTTGTACGTCGACGACATCGTCCTTGCTGCTTCATCGACGACCCTTCTTCGACACATCGTCGATCAGCTTCAGCGCGAGTTCGCCATGACGGACATGGGCGATCTTCACTACTTTCTCGGCATCCGGGTTCATCGCACGGCGCGTGGGTTCTTCCTCAACCAATCCCAGTACGCCGACGAGCTTCTTCAACGAGCCGGCATGTCTCAGTGTCATCCTGCATCTACCCCTGTTGATACGTCACCCAAGGTTCCTGCTGATGCTGGCTCCCCGGTGGATGATCCGTCTGAGTACCGTAGTCTTGCTGGCGGGCTTCAGTACCTTACCATGACGCGCCCTGACTTGGCCTACGCAGTTCAGCAGGCATGCCTACACATGCATGATCCTCGTGACTGCCATCTCGCCATCATCAAGCGCATCTTGCGGTATGTTCGTGGCACCTCCACCTATGGCCTCCTTCTGTCATCTTCCGCCTCTACGGAGATCGTGGCTTACTCCGATGCGGATTGGGCCGGCTGCCCGGACACTCGACGATCTACCTCGGGCTATTGCGTCTACCTCGGCGGCACACTCGTGAGTTGGTCCTCCAAGAGGCAAACCACTGTCTCTCGCTCCAGCGCGGAAGCAGAGTATCGCGCCGTCGCCAACGCCGTTGCTGACTGCGTGTGGCTACGGCAACTCCTTGATGAGCTTGGTTGTTCTCTCCCGAAGGCCACGATTGTGTTTTGTGATAACATCTCGGCGGTGTACATGTCCACCAATCCAGTGCATCACAGGCGGACGAAACACATCGAGCTGGACATTCATTTTGTCCGGGAGAAGGTGGCTCTCGGCGACTTCCGGATTGTACATGTTCCCACCACTCAACAACTCGCAGATATTATGACCAAAGGCCTCCCGGCAGCAGCTTTTCAAGCCTTCCGTTCCAGTCTATGTGTCTTGCCAAGCGACGACAGCTCGACTGCGGCGGGGTGTTAGCGTACGTGTGTGTTCACGTCGTGCGTCTGTGCACGTACGTGGGTTAGTCATGGGTTAAGCCCAAGTGGCCCGAGTCTTAAGGCTGGCTTTGTGTGTATGGTTAGGCATGTACAGCTATATATGGTGTAATCTCCGAATCAATCAATACAGAGAGAGAATTGCACGAGTTTCCTTTCCCTGCTGTCTTTCCAACTCTAGCAAGAGACTCCTCCTCCGGTCGATCGATCGATCGAGATGGTGCTCACGTGCCATATTGCCATGCACACGCGTAAAGGATGCATGATCGAGAGGCCGGTAGTGGGGTTCATGTGCTGGGACGTGACGCGGGTTGGTTGGGTGTCGTACGTCGACACCAACGGACGTGCGTGTGCGCGCACCGGTAGTCTGGACTATGGACACCTACCTGACATGGACTGCGGCGTGGCGAGGCCCGAGAGGAGGTAGCGGCCGGAGTTGCTGAGCGCCGGCGAGGGCGGCGCCACCGCCGGTACCGAGCGGCCGCGGCCAGAGCCCCGGGCGCGGCGGGTGGCGGCGTGGTCGGCCAGGATGCGCTTGACGTCGGCGAGGATGCGGAGCTGGTCGATGAGCGCCTCGCCGCGGCCGAGCAGCTCCGCCTCCTGCGCCGCGTAGAAGGTGCTCACCTTCTCCAGCTCCTCGTCCGCCTTCTCCAGAAACTCCCGCTCCTGCACACGTCAAACACGTCAGTTAGTACATGAATGATTCAGTTGCAGATGCATCCACGAAATGCATGCATGCATGCATCAGCTTACATGCTTGTCCGTGGATCGCACGAGCTCGCCGGAATCCCCGCTCTCCTCGTCATCCTGCATGCCAAAATGCACATCATCAGTACCCTGCACGCACGTAGCCAGATCAACTCGTATCGCCTGACGCGCGCAAGCACGCACCATGGAGGCCTGCACCCTGGGCGCGAACCGGGCGGCGAGGGCGCGGACGGGGTCGAGCACGGAGAAGCCAGCGCCATAGCCGGCGCTCTCGACGCCGGCGGCGAGGGCGGCAGTCTCCGGCGAGGAGTCTCCTGCGCTGCTGCTGTCGTCGGCGTCGCGCCGTTCGACCTTGATCCTCTTGATGAGCTTCTTGAGGTCCCTGTAGTCGACGAAGGCGGGCTTCCACTCGGGGATGATGCTGGCATCGTACTCCCGCGAGAACTTCACCATGTCCTCCGCCTCCTATATACCACGTACTCCAGCACTCCACTATGACGAGGCCGATCGATGGTCGGGGGTTGAAGCGGGTTGCTTCTTGTCCGAGCCGATCGAGCTTACATGCGGAGGACAAGAGGAGGAGGGAGGCCGGAGGGGGACACGGACAGGCAGGAGTCATGGCACAAGCAACCGTGCTTATATAGACCGAGGGACACACACCATCGGAGAAGCTACGATGGAGGGATGGATACTCTTTCTCCGTCTCTCTTCCCACTAACGAATGTGTGGACAGTGCTCACGATTAAGCACCAAATTGGGAGGCACTAGTGCTCGCGATGAGGGCTGCGATCCACCGCTAGTGCCGCGGAAAAGGAAGGAAGATGCTGAAAAAGCATTAGGCCGGACGAATTAAAAGGCGGAACTAATCGTAAAGCAGCGCCGAGAAAGTCGACGGAATTCGTAGTGGACAGACACAATGCAGTGCAAGATATATCATATATGTTTTGAGTATGTGTTGCCGCTGCTCGATCTGTAACTGGTTGCAATTTGCATGCGTCACTCAGGAAGAAAAGCAAAGGGAGGAAGGAAAGGGTGGCCAGGGGTGGAAGAAGAGGAAGAAGATGGGAGAATTAAAGGGGGCACGCACCTACGTTGCCCGCTTTAGTTTGTTCCTTCTGTTAATTTTCTTCTCGAGCTTAGCTTAGCTTGGTGCCCTGCCCCCATCTTTTGGGCGAAAAGACAGGGGAGCTAAGCAACACGCTTGCTTGAGCTACCCGCTCACGTACCCTGCCACTTATCCGGCCTGCCTGAAAACGGGAACAAACTGATTACAGCTAGCAAGCTAGATCACACGTTTATTACACCCATACGGTGTATATGATCGGCGCCAGCCCCGTGTCGTGTCGATATGGTTGTGTGCATCGCAATGATACAGAGTCGTGTCACTTCCATGTAACATGCATCGTTATTGTCAAGATTATCATCGCGGTTCATCAATTGGTACGTAGCTAGCAAATTCGTTCTTGAAAACCTGGATTAATTATTTTTTTTACGAATAAGACCAAGGTCTATTATAGAGCTTAAAGCATCCTAAACATAGCAAAAATACAAGGACCCTGCACAGCTGCATTACCGAAGGATCACTACCGCCATCGGAACGAGTACCAACACGTTGTTGCATTCGCTCCTCTACCGGAGCCGGCTTGACCTCGTCATTACTAGCTAGCTAGGGCCTAGGGGTTCAATGGCCGGAGCACCCAAATTATGAGGGTAACCTGGTTTCTTCTACTTCTAGATGAACGCAATTACTTAATGCGGTGCGTAACTGAACACGCTTTTAACTAATCAGAGAGGCCTAATTTGGTGCAATGGCGCACGTTATGTGTGGATGTGTCGATGAGTGTGGTGTGCTTTACACATTTCGTGGGTGGATTGGGCGGCAGAGAAAGCGGGATCGGCTAATCGCAAGTTGGAGGGAGATCCCATTAGTTGTACGTACGTGTGCGAGCGAGCGACCAAGCAAGCACGCCCTCACGCACGCACGCTAGCTGCATATGCATGGTGGTGGTGCCGGCGCGGCAGCGGGTGGTGGCGAGCGGCTGCGCGCGGCGGGAATCCGACGCGGCCGTGACGCGCCGGCGACAGCCTCCGCACCTGGCTCTGCATGCATGCACAAGTGGGACGTGCCTAGCTTTTCGCCCTGCACCGGGTGCACGCCCACGTGGCACACGTGCTGACAAGGGCGTATCGGTCAAAACTGGTGTATATATTACTATACCTATATATGGTAAAAATGTAGACCCTGTCTAGCCACTTGAAGCACCTGAAGGTAAGGAAAAACTACACGATCTCAAAAGAGAGAGAGGAGAAACTACATGTGATGGACACGGCTCAAGTCAAGGCATTGGCCAGTTCTTTTTTCTTAAGGCGGCAAAACAGCTTGTCTTATTCGATAATTACAAAGGAAAATGGTACTAGTCCATATATAACAGAAAGACAACAAGATGCAAAACGACCATGAATAAATAAAATTAAATAAAAAAAACCGTCCTAAGCCATAGAGAAAGAGTTATCTTAAAGTTAATGTTAACGGCACATTTGTCTGATCCAAGCAATGGCATGTGTGCTCTGTGCAAAAAAGTTGAGGGAAATCTTCATCGGACAGCCATCGACATTGACCGAGAATAACTATCTGTAAATTTGTTTAAATTTGCTATTGGCACTGACATGAACGTCACCGACCTGACTGCCGCGCTGCTTTGTGGGAAAACATTTGATTTGCGGTGTAGGCTAAAATAACGAAAGTGAGGAGTCTGGCACAGTTTTCTTGTTTACACTTGTTTTTTTTTTTTTTGGCGACACTCCAATGATGAATTGTGATTTTCACGAAATTTGAAATCTGGATATGAATTTAACTCATCTGGCCTTGAGTAGTTTTTAAGGACTTTTTTTTGTGCAAAATGTTAAAGATTTGTTGGGGCCAGGGTGTTTTGCAGGCTCTTTCGAGTACTACTTTTGACTCCGTTGAGTAGTGCTTTTGACTCCTTCTAAACTCCTGCATGGTCAATCTACACAAAAAAATGTTCTCTTTTGGCAAAAAAAAAGTTCTCTGCTTGCGGCCCTTGCTTTCTAAGCTCTGCACATGTGCGGTGACAGAGCTTTATTAGGGCCAGAGTCGGTCGTGTCCACCTAGTAGATCTTTGAAAAATGTAGGCTCTTTTGACCCCTTCTAAAATGCTGCATGGTCAAGCTCGCTACACCGCGCAGTGTATATGTGGCATGCCTTGAGACTCGGCACGCTCGGATTTGAGCCACATCGATCGATATATCGCGGGATGCGAAGGGGAGTTCGGTAGGGACGGCACACCGGTAAAAAAACCTCTATAAAAATTTTAAAAAAATTCTGGCCGGTGGGCCCACAGTGGATGCAAAGAAGAATGTGCATTGCACGAGCCAACATTTTTTGTTTTATTTTGTTGACCCTGCGTGCGCGTGTAGAGTGCAGTGGCTGGGAAGGAGGAGCGTTTTCAGCGGCAGGGTAGGCCCTATGCACCTAGATCGTTGAAATATTTCACTCGATCTTTCGGACTCCTTGGACTCGTTCCAAAATCCAGGTGCACGGTCAAGCTCCGCCACAACGACAGCGGGCATGCAGTGACCAGTAGTGTGTGCCACGTTTCGAGACTCGGCACGTACGACGACGTCGGTCGTTCATTCCCTAATTAAGTAACCTCCAAACGTCCTAGACCGTAGCGTGTCAAAAAACAGGAGACGACCCGCTGTTCACCGGCACAACAAACTGTTCGTGTGTGCGTACGTAACACAAACTTACTACGCCAAATAGTACTACGACGCAACATTTCGGACTATTCGATACTCTTTTCGTTTTGACCCCTGGTTGTTCTAAAAGTAAAATCCTCATGCATGCATGCACGCGCTGCCACTGCCTGCATGCGGGCACAGTGCGTGTGTGCCATTTCTCTCGAGACTCGGCGCATGTTCATATGTCAACCTATGCTCGAAACTTGAGTACCACGTGCATTCCTGCGTACGTTCCTCTGTGACGTATGCAACCAGACCGGACCGTACGTGTCGAAAAGACAGGAATCAGCACATTGTTCGTGCCCTAAGCTAAGCAACCTCAAAACCAGATCATGTGATGTACATGCCCCGTCCCGGTTTCTCTGTGACATATGCACACGCAGACTCACAACGAGACGGCCAACCTGCTGCTCAGCACGCATGTGCATGTGCGAACCAAACTGTGATTGGATGATTAGGAGGATAGTGGTATCTCCAGCTCATCAGGGTTTAAGTTCTGGTATTCAGAATTTATTTCAAGATTTACGGCGATGTGCGTTTAGTAGGAGAAGACGTTCTCATCGACTACGAGATGCATACAATGACTTCGTAAAATCTTAGGATGACATGCCGGCTTAGTCTCTCGGTTATGCTCATAGGGATGGGGTGTGCGTGTGTGCGTTCATAAGGATGAGTATATATGAGCACTTGCGTCTGTACTATATTAAAAAAAAACACGTGTGCGCATGCATGCATGCCATCGATTTTCCATGAACAGTCTCTTTCCAAGCTCCGAATCTTTTCTTCTCATTATGTGAATTCTGTATGAATTTTGATTTTGCTAACCACATGTCCCATGGGGTTCTTTTTTTTGCGAATGAAGCTCCGAATCTGCACCGTCAAAGAAAAAAAAACAAAGAATCTGCACGGTGAATAAAAAGTACAGAGCTTCGAATCTGCTTGACTCGATCGGGCGACCGACGGCCGGTCACCCACGGCGAGTTCGTCCGCTCGTTCGGTGCGACATGACGCCGGCGAGGGTGAAAAAAAAAGCGTCAAATCCTCTCTACCACGCACACAATGAGCGGTCGTGGCGTGCACCCGGCCGGTGGGCTCGCAACGGAAAGCTTGTCCGGTCTAGCCCGGTCCGCGACGGCACGGTCACGGAAAAGCATGCGCACGTACGCCACGCGACGCAAACGGCGTCGTGCCTGCGTGCCACGCGCGCTGGTTCACTACTATGGCAGTTTGTTCTCGTCGCGGGTACGGGTGTGCGTCGTTGTCACCGGCGCATGCAGCTGGTTGCTGCCTGCCGCGCGCTGGGCTGGCCACGAGATCTTGCATATATTCCCCCCGGTCCCAAAATTACCACGGCGTTCGGATCAGTCCTAAAGATACACATTTTATAATGCTTCTTTGAATCTCTTGTTATGACAATGTTAGCAACGGATTTTGTCAGACGACATCTATACATTTTTTTTATGATCGTTTGTCAAACGTTCGGAAGCTTGCTCTCGACGAACGCTTCAGCTTCTTCCCCGTGGAAAAAAAAACATTTAGAATCATTTTTTTAACCACCGTTAGTAATTTGTCAAACAAGGCTGAGCGTAATTTTCTTTTGTAAAATGTGTTATGCCGAACATTCAGAAGCTTTTTTTTCCAACGAAACCGCAGGCTCTTTCTTGTGGAAAATACATTCAGAATCTTTGCTT